TTGGTAATCCGAATCTACTTATTCAACTATAAATTTTATAAAGTCTAAATGCAGATCAAGTGTTTCTGATGAAAAATTACTACTTGTATTGAATGGGCTATAAGTGTAAAATATACATTGAATTTAAAAAATGGAGAAAAAGAGTGTAAAGTATCTCATTCATAACTTTCCATACTGATTACATGTTGAAATGATTAGATTTTGGACATATGGAGTTAAATAAAATACATTGTTAAAGCTGAGTTCACCTGTATCTTTTTATATTTTTTAATGTGTCTGCTGGAACATTTATGCAACTTGAATTTGCTGTCCCCGACCACCGATCACCGACCCCGGTGCCCTGCATATCCATTTAACCCTAGGCCAGCTGCCGGTAGGAATAGCCTGCTCTTCCCAGAGCTAATTTGTCCCTTTGGGATCTTGCCTCCTCCTGAACTCTGTGAAGGTATTACTTATGTTAATCCAAAACCCTGGGGACATTTTTGCAACCCAAAGGAGTGAACCATTGTTTGACCTAATCTTCCTTTTTTCTAGCAAAATAACACAGCTCCTTTTGGGGACATTAGAGTCAAGTTGTTAAATTCGAGGAACTGCAAATAAGCACTGGGTGCCAAGTCTCTGGTGGGCTTCCTCCAAGAGGAGACGCTAATGAGTTGCTGTGACTTGGATCTGAAGGACTCAGAAGGAAGTAATGAAGGTGTCTTATTTCTGTCTCCCCAACTCCTGAAATAAGATAGAATGAAAACGTAAACATGCCTTGCCCTGGCCAGGTGGCTCGGCTGATTGGAGCGTCATCCCATGCACCCAAAGGCTGAGGGTTCGATTCCCAGTCAGGGCACATACCTAGGTTTCAGGTTTGATCCCTGGTCAGGGTGCATAAGGGAGGCAACCAACTGATGTTTCTCTCACATCAATGTCTCTGTCTCTCTCTCTCTCTCTCAATAAATACAAACATATCCTCAGGTGGAGAATTAAAAAACAAAACAAAAAGTAAATATTTCTTTTACCTTTTTAAATCCATCATTGTTTTTGTGATACTAAAACATCTGCCTTTACATGGACTTCAAAATAGGAATGAATTAAGTTTAGTGAAATTACTTTGGGGCACAACATATCCTCAGGTGGAGGATTAAAAAAAACAAAAAGTAAATATTTCTTTTACCTTTTTTAATCCATCATTGTTTTTGTGATACGAAAACATCTGCCTTTACATGGACTTCAAAACAGGAATGAATTAAGTTTAGTGAAATTACTTTGGGGCACCTGGCTGGTGTGGCTCAATGGTTGAGCACTGACTCATGAACCAAGAGGTCACTAGTTCGATTCCCAGTTAGGGCATATGCCCAGGTTGTGGGCTGGATCCCCAGTAGGAGTTGTGCAGGAGGCAGCCGATCAATTGATGATACTCTTCACCACTAATGTTTCTATCTCTCCCTCTCCCTTTCTCTCTCTTTAAAACTCAATAAAAACAAAGAAAAAAATATTTTGGGGCATCTCTGAAGCAAACCAACTTTGTAAATCCTATTTTAGGATAACCTACATTGCTTTATAAGCTTTGAAATGCCTTAAAATTAATTTAAAAAATATGATGGAGAACATTATTGCAAGGCTTCATTATATTAACAAAATGAGGATATACAATCCATGATCACAAAGCTTTCAGGCAACATAATCCAACTGTATTTGTTTTTTGCTTCACTTTAAAGAATACCGAGGAAAAAACGAAGCAGTAAATACTCTGCTTGTAATTGGCCAACTGAAGAAGTACAGTTGTTAACTTTTCTTAACTTACAAGCCAGTGTGGAAAAAGTCTTTATAAAAACCCATGTGTCCCTCAGTTATCACCTTCCCCACTTTCTTTCTCCAATAAATGATAAAACGTTGGTTAGAACCTCCATCCCTGACAACAATGAAACAAAACGGAGAAAGAGGCCGGACACCCTGAGGTGCAGCATCTTGTTTGCACTTGGATGTGTGCCTGGGGGAGCCCCTCCTACACGCCAGGCACCCAGTCAGGCAGGACCAAGCCGGAAATGAACCACAAGTACCCACTTTCCTAGCCGCAGAAAAGCAATATAATGGTCTCAGAATTCCTTGAGCTAATGTAAGCTATAAAGTAATACAATAGTCTAATCACTTCGGTGTAATTTCTGACATTTGCATGTACGTACCAGCATTCTATTAATGGTTTGATTATTTAAAAAAACAAAACACTGGCCATGCTATCTCTAAAAGAAATTGTACACTGAAAGAAAAATTATTAAAACGGCATGACAGAAAAATTATCAAAAAGTGACAATATTTTCTATTTTTAAGAGTTCATGTTATCTCAGTTAACCTTATTATCAGAACACAGAAGCAGCTGAAACCTCTACATTCAGAGCATTTTAAATGTTTGGACAAGAATATGGCATTTCACTTTTCTAGCTTACAAAGCCAATTATGGTACTCAAAATTCAGCATGTACTTACAGGAAAAAGGCTGAAAACAAATTCCATAAAGTCCAATGACCTGTAAACAAAACAGCAGCATGGTCACTGGCCTGCAAGCAAACGCGGCCTCGGTGTACATTTAAAGAGACGGAGGCTCTCTCCCCCTCAGGCAGCGATTAGCCAACCACCAGTCAGAATCTGTGTCTAGCTGAACATTAAGCAGTTGCAGAAGCTGTAAGCTTCATATGTCAGTAATAAAGTACTTTTCTAGAACTGAAGGTATAGTATAGCAATTAATCATCTCTGTACATTCAAAAAGCAAGCGAGTCATTCTTGGACGTGATCCCTTCCTGCCTTTGCGGAAGAGCTGGGGGGAGATGTGGGCATATGATAAGCTACTCTGATCTTTTTCTCTTTTACATGCAAAAGATTTTCTGACCAGCTGCGGGTGACGTATATCCACAGGCAAACCATAATGGGGTCATCAGATTTCTGTTTGAAAATTCAAAAATCACATTCCAAGCACAACCGTATATGAATGCACAGGGGGAAATAAATATATGCAACAAATCTAGGAGGGTTTATGGGCTTTTTAGATGCTACAGTATAATTAAAATAAAAGGATTTCCCTTTTCAACCTTCCAGATGACCAAAGAAACTGAAAACTTAAGAGGAAAAAAGTGTAAGTAAAAGATAGTTCTAAGTGAGGCTAGGAGACTGGGAATGTGTTAAAATACAATCTTTCAAAAGGAAATGCCCAGCAGTGCTCTTGGTCACCTAAAAGATATTCCAGAACCTTCCTATCAGAATGGACCAGTCTGTTCCTCTTCGAGATGGTTCCGTGGACCAAACGGTGCAGTAGGTGGGCACCCTACAGATGTGGAATCTAGGCATCGAGGGCAGGAGCCCACATCCCGACTACAGGGGGCAGCAGGCACAGGACATGGGGTGCTCTGGAGGGGCAGGGAGTGGGTAACTGAGTTGCCTGTGTGGCACCATGACTCCTCCTTCCCACAGCTGCCCTAGATTGTTGTTCCGTGTCCCACTAACCCCCCTCTCAGACTACCACTGGGTGAGGCTCCAGTCCCAGGTTCCAGAGAGAGCTTGAGGCAAGGGACTCAGCCGCTTAGCCCAGCCCAGACCACCAGCTCAGGAATGAGCACACAGCCCGATGGGGCCAAAGGGGCTTTAGCTGGAGAGCTAGGCCCAGACCAGACTCCTGCTCACGAGCTTTTGGTGCAGAGCTCGAGGCCACCGTCCACTTTTTTAGCCCCCGATGGAGCCACTACTCTGAGAATGGGGCCAGCAGCAGGGAACCAGAACCGGGAGGTGGGGGAGAGAAACTTGGCCCTTGATGGGGTGATCCAAGTCCTGAATCAAGGCCCACAGAGACTCAGTCCTGCCACTGCACTTACCCTTCATCATGTGAGGCCATTATTCCATATTTTCAAAGCTATAGTTTGAGTTGGAGTTTCTGTTGCTTGCAACCAAAAAAACTCCAGTCAAGCAGAAACCTAAATCCCAAGTTTCCCCCAAATAAAAACTTTAGAGGATGGGGAGCAGCACAAGGTTACATAAATGATCATTTTCCAGATCCCCAACTGTTACAAAGGCGAGCCAGACCCCGGGCAACCTAGCGCTGAGGGCCTTACCCACATTTTATGGACTGGAATCTCTGGGAATGGGGCCAAGGAATCTGTGCTTTTGAAAGAGCTTACCAGGAGATTAGGATTAGGTGTGGCCAGGTTTGGAAACCATTGGCTCTGCAAGATTCAAATGTCAGGCCACCAACACGCTAAGAGCGCCTTACCATAACAGACAACCTGTGGCTCAGTACTCGCCTTGCTTCATACTTCTCATCAATGCAAAACAGCTGGATACAGAAGGCGGAAGGGGCTCCCTTGTAGACAGGGCGGAAGTGGGTGGTGTCCCCAGGCAGTGAGGATGCCACGCTCCCCCGACGGAAGCAGTAACTCTCAGCATCTTCAGGACATGACCCTCCCATCTGAAACACATCCCGAGCCAGGCCTCGTGTCAAGGAGACATTAAAAAAACATTAAAAATGTATAAAAGGACTGAGACAGGTTCTCACACGAAGGTCAGAAAAACAAAGGGTTTCAGTTGGCCTTTGATACAGGAGGCACATTTTAACTGCATCCCTGGGTAGAGGTTAGAGCATGGTCGTACTCTATACATGTTAATTCCATACGCAAAACACCTCTGTCCTCAAAAAAGGAAGTGTTTTCATTGTGATTTTGTGCTACAAGAATTTGTGGATCTTGGGACTATTCAGGCGGTTTGATGGTAAGGTGGAGCCTAGGAGGTCCGACTGCCCATGGGCACCTGGAAGCTTAGCTCTGAGTCCTTCTGGTCTCATTTTAGGGGATCTAAGAAGGCGTGACAACTCAGTTAGTGGGAAAGGATTCCTTCTGAGATCCTTCTTGTAGTTCTTTTAAGTCAAAGTAATACATGCATATAGAAAAAATTAAAATAATGCTTATGCTAAAGACATAATCAGGAGTCCCCTGTCCCCCCAAGTGCCTCTCCCCTTGGCTAGCATTCCCAAGTTTATCATTTCTTTTGGTATTTACCTCTATATTTCTGAATATGTGCTCACACTGTTATTTCTCAATGTGTCAGTTTTTGAAGTTCCCTTTTTGATATTAGTGTGATGGGTAGATGTAACCCTCTTACACTACCTGCTTCCCTTTATCCTATCCGCCCCCCCCCCCATAATCATAGCATAATTCGTGGTTAAAGCAGTTAGTATTTACATTATAATAAATATGTAGGTATCACTGTTACTGAGTGAGGAATGTAATATGACTGTGCTCTCCTCTGTGTACTTTGATTTGATCCTCTTGGTTTCCTAATGTGTTTCACAGGCTTTGTCAGATTTGCCACGTGTTTGTCAATATTTTCCAAAACAACCAAGTGTTTGGGATCACCTAAGGCTTCATTTCTTCTCCTCCTCTGACCTCGCCTTGCTCACCTGCCTGCTGAACCACCTGCTTTCTTGTTTATAGCTCCTGCTCCAGTTGCAGGTCTTTTTGTTGTCTTCTTTGTCATGGTTTATGCCCATTATCACTGCAGCACTTTTCTAGCTTCCTAAATGCAACGGTTCTTGGTAGGTAGCAAAACTCAACAACTGACTGGGTACTTTGTGGGGTGATCAAGCACAAACCTGGCACTTTATTGGGTGACCTCCAGGGACATTACCAGGAGGCCTTTCCTTTGGGCCTGTCAGGTTTCAAGGGGAATTAAATTCTCCAATCGCCTGCATGAAGGACTTGGTAGGCAGAACAGTGGTCCCCAAAGATGTGCATGGCCTAATCCCCAGAACCTGTGGAGGCATGCGGCTTGTCGGCCGCAAGTTTGACATGCTTGCTTTACAGGGTAAAAGACACTTTGTACATGTCATTAAGTTAAGGACTTTGACACAAGGAGATTATCTTGGATGATCTGGGTGGGCCCAAATCATAAGAGTCCTTGTAAGAGAAAGTCATGAGGGTCAGAGTAGATGCCATGCTACCAGCTTTGAAGATGGAGGAAGGGCTACATGCCAAGGAACGCAAGTGGGTTTTAGAAGTTGGTAAGGGATGACTTCTCCCCTCCAGCCTCCAGGAGGAATAGGGCCCTGTTTGCACCTGGATCGTAGCACAGGAAGACCTGTTTGGGGTGTCTTACATCCAGAACTGCACGATAACACATTTATGTTGTGCGTTAAGCCACTAAGTTTGTGGTAATTTGTTGCCGCAGCAATAAAACATTAATACAAAGACCTGACATTTGGGGAAGACAGCAGGAGGAGAATTCAGGGGTTCCTCCATTGGAAATGGAAAAATCCCACTTATTCTTCTATTCTCTGTGTTTCCCGATTCCACAGGCTGAACCTGAATTTGGAGCCGCTTCTGTTCAGTCTCTCCAGAGAGAAGTCATCTGGCCGTTTCACTTGGGGGCTAGATGACAAGTTAGGTGCTGTCTGCAAGGAGCCTATGTCCCCGACACATTATAACAGACCTAGGCCAGCCCACCTTCCACAGCAGACTAAGCCAGTGTGAACGCCACTGCTGATTTTCCTCATGCCAAACATTTTCAAGTGCTCATCTTCCAACACCTCTCCCAGTCTCATAGTCTTTGTAAATGTGGGCCCTTCTTATTCCTTTACTGTTATTTCAGTGCCTGTGTGTGTGTGTGTGTGTGTGTGTGTGTGTGTGTGTGTGTGTTTCCCCAAAAGGTAGAGGCAATAAACATGGGAGATCAATCCACCTGTTGACCAGATGCCCTCCGGGTTCCAGAACTTCTGAGGCAGTGGGGACCATCCTGTGCCCCACCACACCCTTGTTTGGGTTCCTAAAGGAATGGCTACCCTCTTAGAAATATCGAAGAGAAAACTGCTCCCTGCTGTGGCATGCCTGACTCTCTCCTCCCCAAGGCATGGGGAGCGAGTGCTCTACAGTGGGTCTCCCCAGAAGCAAACTCTGACGTAGGTTTATTTGGGGAGTGAAGCCAGGAAATCCTGGGAGGGGAGTGGGAAAGTGAGGCAAGGAAGGGAAAGGACAACAATGCAGAGTGTTTAATGAGTGGGTTACCTACTCAAGATCCCAGACTGGCAACCAACTGATCTCTCTCTCTCTCTCTCTCTCTCTCTCTCCTCCCTCCCCCCCCCAGGATGAGGATAAAAACAACAACACACAAAACACAGCAATAACCTGTCCTCTCCTAGGGACAGCAACTGGCAGAAGATGCTACCACCCTTGGCCTGAATCCGTCACAGGAAGGAGCAGTTACGGGAACCTGGGATGCAGATGAATGACCTATACATGTAAGTGTGTATGGGAGCACATGTTTGTACATCTGATATGGAGAATTGCAGAAAACTCTTACAAATGCTTTGCCTCTACAAAATGTTTTCTCTGTAGACAATGGAAAAAAAGAGAAAATCGCTAATTACTGAAATTGTTGCAAATAATTGATGTAGAAAGTGTAATTTCTCGGTCTGAGCTGTGTAAGAGATAGAGAATAGAAGATTAATCACAGTAAAGTAAAAATCAATCGAGGGAAGTGTTGTGGAGTAGACCCTAAAGGAGGTGGCAGGTAGAAACCTGTAGAGAGAGGCAGGGAGCCTGGAGGAGAAAAGGTCAGGGACTCAGGAGGCGAGGAGTGAACCACGTGGGGCCACCCAGACAGCACACAAAGCCCTGCGCGAGCCCTACCTCCATCGAACTTCCGAGTCTTGTTGTAAGTTCCTCCACTGAGGCTTCTTCTGCAACTTTCCCCTGTAAATGACAATGGCAAAACATGGGGATTCATCAACGGCCCAGTGGCTCAGAGCCCGAGCTCTGAAGCAAACCGCCTGGGTTCAGACCCACTGCTCGCTGGCTGTGTGGCAGGGAGAATGTTTCGGGGCCTCAGTTTCCTCATCTGGAAAAGGGGGTGAAGAGCAGCACCTACCGCATAAGGTTGTTATGAGAATAAAATAAGGATAAATAGGTAAGATAGATGAGAGAGAGATAAGACAGATAGATGTTTAGCACAATGCTGGCAATTCCTAATTCTCTGTAGATGTTAGTAATAATAACTAGCATAAAATACTTTTCTTCTTTATACTGTTAAAGTAAAGGCTGCCCTAGGTTTTTAAAACTGCTTTATTGAGGTATAACCGACATATAATAAACTGCATATATTTGAAGTGTACCTTTTGAAAAGTGTTGACCTATGCATGCACCAATAAAAAAAATCACCATAAAAATAATGAGCATACACATCACAACTAAAAGCTTCTGTGTTTCTACGTGCCCCTCAGCCCCACCCCGTGCCATTCTGCAACCCAGGCAAACAATGACCTGTTTTTTGTCATTATAGATTACTAGAGGCCCGGTGCACGAAAATTAGTGCAAGAGTAGGCCTGCCTTCCCCCAGCTGCCGGCACCGGCTTCCCTCCGGCACCTGGGACCGGGGCTTCCATCCCTCTGGCTGCCCGCAGGCACCTGAGACCCGGGCCGGCTTTTCACGGGCCGCCGGCAGGCACCCGGGACCTGGGCTTCCCTCCCTTGGGTTGGCCACAGATACCCTAGACTGCAGGTGGTTTCTCCTGGGCCAGGCCCCAGCTTTGTCAGGAAGAACATCCAGAATGACGTCAAGAAGACATCCAGCCTATCCGGTCTAATTAGCATATTACCCTTTTATTAGTATAGATATTCAGAGTCTATGGATCTTCTGTTCTGTTCCATTAATCTATGTGTTGACCTTGACACCATTACTACACGGTCTTAATTCCAAGAACTTAATTGTAAGTCATGAAATCAGAAGCATTAGTCCTACAACGTTGTTCTTTTTCCAGAACAACGTTGTGTTGGCTACTCTAGATCCTTTCCACTTCTATGTGAATTTTGGAATCAATTTTTCAATTTATATAAAAATTCCTCCTGGAATCTTGACTGGGACTGCATTAACCAATTTGGGAAGAATTGACGTTTTGGCAATACTGAGTCTCCAACCATTAACATGGGATATCAGGATATCTCTTCAACTATCTAACTCTTTTTACATTCTCTCAGAATTATTTTGTAGTTTTCAGTGTATACAGGTCTTAAGCATCTTTTGTCAGATTTATCTCTAAATATTTTGTATATTTGTACTATTGTGGATGATATTTAACTCAATTTCTAACAGTTCATTGCTATTCTATAGAGGTAAAATTAAACTTTGCATATTAATTTTGTGTATATGTAGCAACTTGCCAAAGTACATATTAGTTCTAGTAGCTGTTTTGTAGATTCTAGATGATTCTCTTCAAATAAAAGAGAGTTTTAATTCTTCCTTTCCAATCTAGATGCCTATTATTTCTTTCCTTGTCTTTTTGTACCATCTGTAGGCAGCCTCCAGTATACATTTTGTTGTTCCTACTGATGCAGGACCCTTCTGTGCACTCTCCCAGTGCCTGGTGTCGTGAGGGTCTCCAGCCGGGCTGATGGACGTGGTGAGAGGAGACATTCTTGCCTGGTTCCTGACTTCGATGGAAGGCATTCAGTCTTTTACCATTAGGTGTGATGTTAGCTATATAGACTTTTCAAAAATAACCATCAAACTGAAAAAGTTCTCTTTACCGCTACCTTTTCACTATTTGATTATCACAGTATGGCATGTCTTCTTCATGTTCCCTGTGCTTGCTATTTGTTGAGCTTGTGGGTTTATTATTTTTATAAAATTTAGAATTTTTTTAGTTATTACTTCTTCAAATATTTTTTTGTTCCAACCTCTCTCTCCTCTTTTTCATGGACTCCAATTACATACATATTAGGTACCTGAAGTCATCCCACAGTGATCTTTTTTTCAAACTCTCATTCCTGTTTCAAGTTCACTAATCTTTTTTATTGCGGTCTCTAATCTGTGGCTAATCTTCCAGTGTATTTTTCAGCTAACAAATTGTAGTTTTATCTCTACAATTTTATTTGGGGTGCTTTTATATCTTTTATGTCTCTCCTTAATCTTTAGAACGTATATAGTTATCATAACTGTTTTAATGTTTTGTCCACTAATTCTAATATCTCCTTCAGATCTGGGTTGGCTTCAATTGAGTCATCTCCACTTTATGCAACATATATTCCCAGTTTTTGCAGCTCTGGTCATTTTTTATTGGATTCTGAACATTATGATGTAACCTAACTGGGCGATGATAATTTCGTATTACTACAGATATTCTTGAACTGTGTTCTGGGACTCAGCTAAGGTACTTGGAAAAAAGTTTGATCCTTTCGGTCTTGCTTTAAAACTGTGTTAGGCCTGGAGCCGTGCTCTCTGTCAAGGTCACTGTTCCTACTGATGCAGGGCCCTTCTGTGGACTCTCCCAGTGCCTTGTGTCGTGAGGGTCTCCCGCCGGGCTGATGGGGTCAGGCAGTGCGAGCACTGGGCACTGTGAACTCTGATCCTTTTGGGAGGTGCGCTCACCCTGACCTTCAGTAGTTTCCTCACATGCATGAGCTGGTCAGTCCGCAGCTGAGTACTCGAGAGTGACCCTCTGCTGGCGTAGAACCTCTCTGTGAAGCTCTCTGCCCTCGGGCACTCTGCCCTGCAACCCTGAGTGGCTTTAGTCTCCAGGGACCTACAGATCTGTCCCCACAGCCCAGGAACTCCCCGGGCTCCCCGGGTTCCTGCCGCCCTGCGCTGTGGCCGGGAACTCTCCCCAGGCAGCAGTCCGGCCATCAGAGGACTCGCCCGGCCCCTTGCCCATCACTCAGAGGTCACTCTCCATCGTTACCCGAGGAGCAGTGTCTTAAAAACTGTGATTTCGTGTATTTTGGCCAGTTTTTAGTTGTTTCGGGCAGGACAGTAAATCCAGTTTCTGTTACTCAGTTTTTGCCAGAATAGAGTTCCCTTGCACAGAGTTTTGTTTTGCTTGTTTTTACATTCCATTCATCAGCTTCATGTCCCACAATCTAATCCATGTCATACGACCTTCTTCAAACGATTCGGGTTTCCCTCAGTCCCTTCTTCTGGGAGATTTCCCACCGTCTTTCCCACACACTGCGTTAGGGTGCTTTCCTCTCCCCTAGCCCGCCACCACCTCTTGGAGGCCGAGGCTGCTTTGGTGGCTTTCAGCATCTGGGTGAGTGCCTGAGCCATTGGAGGGCTCAACCTCTGTGCAGAGACTAAATCAGCACTGGAAACGCAACACCCAGCCAGCTACGGACTGGGTCCCTTTGTGGTCTGTGGAAGAAGAATGCATTTTCCACAGAGACAATATGAAAATCAGGAGGAGAAGCCCGGTGGCCTAGTGCTAAGATAAATGTCCTCCCTCTTCTCCCAAGATTTTCTTTGCATGAGCTGATGGGCAAGGGCATGTTGCTTTGTCCGAGGGTGGAAAGGAGAAGTAAAAGAGTTGGGCACTACCCCTGCCCCCATCCTGGGCTCAGGGTGGGTTCTGGGCCTCACAGGATGACTGAGTCGGCAGGACAGAGCTGAAGGAGCTGTGTCACCACACGCACCTTGAGATGCTGGCCACACAGCGCTGGTGAGGGACCAGGCGGACAGTGTTGGCCGCGAAGCGAGCCCGGCTGACTGGCCTCCTCTGTTCCAGGTTCCCCTTCTTCAGGTGAGGGCGGCAGGAGCAGCACAGGCGAGCTCCATCAGCGGCACCCATCAGGCAGCAGGAGGCGGCTGGGCTCCTGCTGGGGCCAGGCCAGGACAACAGAGCCAACAGCTCTCCAGGGAGCCGTGGTGGATGCTTCCGTAGTTTGCAGGAAGAAAAATGCTGCTTCATTTGCATATGTGGACAGTGTGCAAGTCTCCTCAGACAGTCTGGATTGTTTAACTGGCTTTCAATGAACAGCTGCACCCACCTCAGCCTCCTGAGCTCAGGGGAGGGGTGCGAGGGAAGGTAGAGTCGTATTCCTGGAGAAAGCAGTGAGGCTCCATGTCCAGCACAAACACACCGCCTGCTTCCTCTGGGCTCACTGTCACTGTCCCCCCGACTTCAGTGCTCTTAGTGATGGTGGGGCCTTTTCTGCATCAGACCTTAGAATTTCCTGAGCACCAGGACCACCCATGACGCACACCAGCAGCCCCTAGGACCACCCGCACCCCAGGCATGCGTGAATGATCTCTCTTACCTGGACACTTTCCCTTCTCTCTGGAGTATCAGGTTCCTGTGACTCGAGAGTTTGCTGGGAATCCAGGCTGCTATCCCTGTGATAAGTATCTGAGAGAGAGAGAGAGAGAGAGAGAGAGAGAGAGAGAGAGAGAGAGATAGGTATAAGGACAGAAAACAGATGATAAATATCTGCAGAGCCACAGGAAATTGGAGACGGCATAGTAGTGTTTCTAAACTGCAGCATGTCTGGAGAATTGTATTGCAGAGGCCAGCACCATGAGGTGGGAAGAACAGGCTCTTCACAGCCGACCCCAATTCTCACCTCTCTGTGCCCTCAAGGATGTCAGTGATGGGCCTGGCCTGGCACCAGGAGGCCTTCAGCCTCTGCCAGTTACTGAGCTATGTGATCCTTCCAGAGAAGCCACCACCCGCCACTGTCCGAACCACGCAGGTCCCACCGCCCAGCGGCCCTCCAGTGAACCAGGAAGGGCACCCCAGCTTCCTCCTGGGAAACACCGTAATCTGAAGCCGGGCACCAAACGTCACAGGGTGGGCGATTCCATTCCGGGGAAATGTCCAGAGAACGCAAATCCATAGGCTGCCAGCAGACGGTGGTGGGGGCTGGGGCAGCGGCGTGGGGAGTGGCTGCTTACTGGGTACAGGGTTTCCCCTTGGAACTGGAGAGAGGTGGTTGCACAGCACCATGCGTGCCCAGCTGTCCCTCCGAACCCGCAGGGGATCGGTTCCAGGACCCCCTGCGGGTACCAAAATCCACGGATGCTCAAGATCCTTGTGCAAAATGATGTAGTATTTGCATATAACCTACACACGGCCTCCCGTCTACTTTATTTTGTTTATTTTATATATATCTATATATCTATATATAGATATATAGATATATATATATAAATTTTTTTTTTACAGACTGTGGAAAAGACCACAATTAGCTGTATCTGAATGTCAAAGATTAGCACCAGGGCTGCTTGCCCTCTGACAATACTGTGAGCATGCAGTCTGACAGGCACTCTTCACTTTTCTACTTTTGAAGCAAGAAGAACTGGAACTCAGCATTATTGCTGTAATAGGCTCTGGAAAGTCAATAATCAGGGCAATTTCATGTATTTAACCGTCACTAAAATTATAGTAGAAAACATTTTTCCCATCTTCTCAAAAAAGCCCTCTTCTTCTCTTTCTCCTTTTTTTCCTTTCCCTCCCTCTTCCCTCCCTCCCTCCCTCCCTTCCTTCTTTTCTTTCTTCCTACTTTCCTGTGTCTTTCTTCCTGCCTTTCTTCCTGTTGGTCTTTCTCTCCCCCCCTTTCCCCTCCCTCTCCCTCTCTCTTTAACTCTATCTCTCCCTCCACTCCCCCTTTTTCTCTCCCCCTCTCTCCTATCTCCCACTCCCATGTCTCTGCTCTGGCTCACCCTGTGCCTACTCTGCTGGGAATTCTCAGCCATGACATCTGCTCTCAGCCTGTGGGCCTTGGCTCAGAGCAGCCCTAGGACACTGCCCAGGGGCTGGCCCTGCCTGGAATGCTGCCACAGATGCAGAAGGGACCCGGCCCTGCTGAAGGCCCCAGAGACCGCTGCCAGCCTGGGCCTGCTGCTCTGTCTTCTTGTTTCTAACCTTTCCAACCTCCAAATCAGACACTGCGCAGCCAGAGGCAGCCCAGATCCTCTCTGCTTCCTCCTCTCCCACTGTTTCCTTCTAGCGCCAGCCAGGGCAACTGCCCCTGCAGATGCCTCCCAACCCCAAGTCCCCAGTCACTCACACCCTCTACCTGCTTCTGGCAAAGATGTAGGTGAATAAAGTAGAATCAAATTCTAAGAGGAAAACCCCATGCCCCGGGGGTGTAAGGAGCGCATACAAGGAGATACACATCATGTTGCAGGGGCAGTGAGAGAGAACTGCATCCCACATAACAAGCAGCTCCTTTGGGGGGAAAAATGAGAGAGAAGTGAGGACTTAGAATCCCTCTTCTGACATAGATACTTTGGGGAGAATAAAACGTAGTATGATTCCAGTTCCTGCATACGTCCTGCTTCCCGCGAAACTTTCCAGATAGTCTACATGGAGTTTACAGCATTCTCATGGCAACAAGAGCAGCATAACAAGCATATGGGAAAGTGTGAGAATTTCTACGTGTCTACTTCCATGTAACAACCACCCAAATGAAATCTAAAACATTTCCAGGGCCAGAAACTCCCCCACCCACAATCCTCCTGTCCAGCTAATCTACCTCTTAGTGGGAGCTGCTATTCTGAGTCCTATCATTGATTTCTTTTGCTCAGCAGCAAACTTTTTTGTTGTTAATCCTCACTCGAGGATATTTTTTTCCATTGATTTTTTTTTTTAAGAGAAAGTGGAAGAGAGGGAAGTGGAGAGGGAGAAAGAGAAAGATCAATGTGAGACACATCAGTTGGTTGCCTCCCGCATGCACCCTGACTGGGGCTGGTGACCAAACCTGCAACCCAGGTATGTGCCCTTGACCAGGAATCAAACCCATGACTCTCCGGTTCCTGGGCCAATGCTTTCACCACCGAGCAACACTGGCCAAGGTGCAAACTTTTTGAATTTAAACAAAAAAACATATAGATAACTCTCTATTCTTAAGCTGCACTTTATTTTTTTAATCTTTTCCCATTTTAAGTTTTAAATTTGAAGAACTACATAAAAACACAACTGAAAGAAAACCAGACTTTCACTCTGCATACATTTCTTTTATAATTAGGAAAAAATTACTAAGAAGTTAGAAATCGTGACGAATGGATTAGATTTGCAGTGAACTAATAATCCCAGTGACTGCCCTGCTTCACGAGACAATTACCAACTACAACAACTAATTGTCTTGACTGAACCGTCCTGGGGTGTTGCAGGTTATTATTAAGCAGCTACCATGCTCGTCCCCAGAGGTGGCTGCATTTCAGAATGGGGTGAGGTGATGCTATATCTCTCTTTCCTGTGTCTCTGGGGGTTTATGAGGTTGAATTACTTAATTTTCACAGTGTGCCCTGAGATCCTCAGATGTGACACACAACTAAAAACACACTCGGGCTGCAAATGTAATTGTTAGTTTATTGCTTATATCACCTGTGTAGCTTAGAAGTCATGCACTAGTGCTTTATCCTAGTGAGAGTGGAGGCACAATTTGCTGGGACTTTCTAAGTGAGACTGCTCATCTGAAGTGGGTTTACCACAAAGCTAATGAGGTTGGAGGTTCAGGCCCCTCCCTAGATTGGCCCCTCCCAAGGCGCAGCTACTCCTGCATTCATAATTTTTCATTCTTTTTCTTTAAGAGAGCTCCCAAAATTGTACAGACTTTGGGTCCCACAAAACCTGGCTCTGTCCTGCTCTTTGCTAATAGGACTAATACATAGGGAAGGCCATAATACATTTTAAAAGGCATTAGGAAAAAATAAAAGTATACAATCTGGGGCTTTTTTACATTTATTTTAAATATCAATAAAAAGATTTATTAGTGCAATAAAATAAGCTAATTATAAAAACATAATTATGGAAGAACAGGTAGTAAACAAAATTTTAAGAAATAAAAACAAAGAGTGGGCCAAATGTCCTAGTGAATATTAGGACATTATAAAGCCATATTATTAGAAGTTTTATTGGAGTAGAAGTAGAACAAAATGAAATCTAGAAAAGAGCCGGACAATTACGAGATGTTGATATATATTGAAGGTGGCATTTTGGATTGGTGGGAAAATAATAAACTACACAATCAACCGTACTAAACATATGAGAAAAAGTTAATTTGAGCCCCTATTTCATACAATACACAGAAATATTTTGCAGATAAATTAACAGCCTAAATATTTTTAAATAGTTTGAAATTACAAGAAAAAATATAAGAGAATATCTCTATAACCTTGGGGGTGGAAATTTTCTTCCTTAAATGCAAAAGGCAGCCCTGGCTGGTGTGGCTCAGTTGGTTAAGCATCATCCCATGCACTGAAAGGTTGCTGGTTCGATTCCCAGTTAGGGCACATACACAGGTTGTGGGTTCAATCCCCGGTTGGGTTGCATGCAGGAGGCAATTGATTGCTGTTTCTCTCTTTCTCTCCCTCTCTCTCTAAAACAAACAAACAAACAAAACCAATAAAAACATATTTTTTTAAATGCAAAAGGCAGAAGTCATAAAAGAAAACTATTGATCTATCTGACCACATCAAATCTAAGAGTTCTGTCAAAAGTTCCTAAAAATGTTTTTGTTGTTGTTAAAGTAGAGATACAGAGGGGGAGGGCTCAGCAAAGGAGTAATGGCTTCCTACCACCACTCTGTCTGGGAGAAAGCTGCCCCTCCAGCTCTTCACCTGCAGCCAGACAGTTCAGTTCCTCCTCGTGTGTCCCTGGCACCTTTCGAGGTTCTGCCCCAACACGGGAGCTCACAGCCAGTGAGTCCTTTACCAGGGCCAGACTGGAAATAAAACTAAATTGAGGAACATTTATCCAGAATTACCAACAGAGGTCCAGCTGAGGAGGAGACTTATATCAAGGAAGGACAGAAAACACCTGCAGACTAGGAGGAAGGGCAAGGTAGTGAGAGGGGTGACCCAGCTTCCACAGGCAGCAGGCCGAGAGTAAAGAGGGATCTCTGGGATAGGGGAAGGTGTTTCCCCTGAGTAGGGCGTGGACCAGAGCCCAGGCCGGGCTCCACAGCCTGGAGTACCAGAGCCGAGACCAGCGGCCCACGTAACACCCAGTGTGCAAGGTGGCAGGGTTTCTGGGCGCCAGGGATTCCAGAGTCAGCTGGAGATTAAAACCTCAGGGGTGTTTTTTGTGTGTGTGTGTGTGTGTGTGTGTGTGACTGTGTGTATCCCTTTAAAAATAAACAAACACAGAGCAGAGAATTTTTGTTTGTAGCTACTCACCCAGCAGACTGTATTACTAATGCAATTAAGATTCAAAAAGAATGTCTAATTATAAAAGTAAATTTCTATTTTCAAAATATTACAAGATAGTCATTTTTGTTTAGTATTTTAATACTGTGAATGATTTCATAAAAGATACAAATGAATTTAAGTTGCTCAGTTTTAAGAAAAGGAAAGAGAAAAGATTAGAGGTTCAAGTTAAATCACTCTTCCAACTAAAGTTCAATG